TTTTTCAATAACCGTTTAAAGAAACTTCCTTGAAAGGAATACAATATGAATCCTTATTTAATGTAAACTTAATATTCAATTGCTCTTTATGATAGAACAGTTTATGGATCGATTTCGTGCTAAAATGTATAATATTGATCGTATTATTACATTGACAAGACAACATGCGCGAGTCATCAAATCGAACTTCATTACTATTCACTACCAATAACTTCCTAACCGATTAACTTAAAAGAAATCATAAAATAACAAGCACACTCACAGCTGATATCCCAAATGTAGCAAAAACTTCGTATGACGTGAACATTATGCACAAATTACTTGTCAAAACAACAAAAACTAAAGAAAAAACGTAAACATTAGTTGCGCACGCGACTGTCTACTCACTCCGAACTATCGAACTGTGGCACTCACACAGGTGTGTCAACCAATGGAACGCGAGCGACAACTACACATTTGTCACATTCCCTAGCATTAGAGCGAGACACAAATACACAACCTTATGTGAGTGAACGAGACGGAGAATCAATATGTCCGTTCCTTACAATATGCTTTGAATTTTCTAGATAACCAAAGTGTTTTTGAATCGGATTTTTTATCTCTTTCACTCAAGATAATGATTAGACAGGTGCGTACTACTTTTCTTGAAATACGGACAGAGAGCAATGACAGTGACACCCACTGTGACATACGAGGGAAAACTGCGCATGGTAGCAGAATGGCAACGTCGCTTTCATACGTCATTCATAAACAGGTTGCTAGCCTGCGCACGCGCTCACCTTGCTTGTTTATCTGTGAAACGTTTATTTTGTTATTTTCCTTTGTTTTTCTAATTTATTGATCTCAATTGAATCATGACTTGGACAACATAATTTACCTAACAATGAACTTTATTCAACGAAATGACATCATTTTACCTTGCCTAAAGTGAAACAAATAATAATTACAATAAGTGTTAGGCGATCGCGATCTCGTAGACTATTTATGTTCTGTGATCGCGATAGGTTTGGGACTTGCATTGCAACAAATCATCAACTCGATGTCCATATAAAATAATAATTTATATGATCCACAAAAAAACTAAGTTGTCACGGATCAATGTCGGTAACATTACAGAAGAAAATCTTGATAGGTACCTACATTATAGACTAGTAAATAAAAAAATTATGTCGATATATCTCTAGCTTGCAACAATTGACAATTATCTGTAATGGTGCGTGTTGTACTTTGGGTTTACTGAGTGTAAATCGCGGATCTTTTTTTAATTATGCTCTTTAACAATACTAATTGGGTATTAAAATACGCTGAGAACGCGAGTAAGAAATGTCATTAAAATGTAGTTAGTTTAATATTAACATACCATCACGCCTTTTTATCCCGGAAGGAGTAGACAGAGGTGCACATTACGGCACCTATGACCCACTTTTCACTATTTACCTATGTTATGAGTCTCATGTAACAAAGGATGAGCCTATTGCCATACACCGGACACAATCAATTCCAAACTTCGTGCTGCTACTGAGAATTAAAAATCCAGTAATACTTTGCCCGACCCAGGAATCGAACCCGAGACCGCTTGCCCGCCAGTCGTACTTGTGATCACTCGGTCAACGAGGCAGGCAGTATCAAATCTACAGTTGTTGGGGATTCAGGGATTGGGGAAAAGGAGGGAGAGGTTATTGGGCCTCCGGTAACCTCACTCACACGACGAAACACAACACAACGTTGTTTCACGTCGTTCTTCTGTGAGGCCGTGGTATCACTCCGGTAGAGCCGGCCCATTCATGTCGAAGCATGGCTCTCCCACACACACAATCTCGCCTGGTGGTAAGCGATGATGCGGTCTACGATGGAGCACGTCGACCCATAAGCAACCTATTCACTTGGGCCTTGAAGACACCCACGGATAAGGTTTGAGCATTAATCACCTTGCTTAATGCGCATGCATTTCAAACTTATAATTAGAAATAGTAAACCCAGATTTCCTCACGAAGTTTTCCTTCACCTTTTGTCAGTGGTGTCTATAATTATAATCTTAGAATGCACATAATGTATATAACTCGACAGAAGTCACACTGGTACTTGCCGTTGGTAGGTTTCGAAACCGCACCCTCGTGCATGAAAAGCGGACATCTTAAACCTCCGGGCCACGACGATAGGGTATATCATTAGATTAGAAGAACCATATTGAAAATGTTGTAATTGCAACTTTAAAATAAACGTCATCTTTTTGTAAATCGTACCATAAAATAATATTCACCTATAATATATCCGAATTAATATTTTTATTTGTGATAATACGAGGATTACCTACATACCTAATGGCTTTTATTTTTACATAGCCTTGTTATCAAAATATATAAAAATATGTAAGTTACCTATAAACTGGTCAATCTTAGTAGTTGCGTATGGTAATGATGTGTGCGGCTTATCAAAGTATTTATTATAATCACTTATATCTGCGTTCGATAATACAACTTATATCCGGGCTTTGGCAAAACTTATAAATAATTAATTACCATATCATAATCACCATATCCATTCATGGCCGAAAAATGATTAAAGACATAGTCATACGCAATACATTTATAGAGAAACGAACAGAAAGAAAATTATTTCAAACTAGCTTCCGCCAGCGGCTTCGCCCGCGATCCCAGGGGTAAAATGCCTGTGTATTACTTGGACTTTGAATAGGGCCAACCCTACAGTTACAGCGTAAAGTCTATAGATGAGTATTGTAAACGTAAGAGTAAACAAATACAAGCAGAAAGCTCCGAACTGCTAAGCTATCGGGAGCTACACGTGTTATTGTGAGTCAACCATAAAAGATAGATGTGTTATATGTAGAACATTGGCGTCATACATGGTTTCTATGTAGCTTTAACTATTAAGCCTGCTCATGCGACGTGTATTTAAAAAATGGAGTAATTTCTCCTGTTTACCCAATACTTTCCTTCACTGCTCTGCTCCTATTAATTGTAGTGTGATGAAAAGTACCTATACTATAACGTCCCCAGGATTATGAAGAATAATAATAATTGTACCAAGTTTCGTTAAAATCCGTCCAGTAGTTTTTATTTGTATAAGGAACATACAGAGAGACAGACAAAAATTTTGGTGATTGCATTTTTGGCATTCGTATCGATCACTAATCACCCCCTGATAGGTATTTTGGAAATACATTTCATGTACAAAATTGACCTCGCTACAGATTTATTATAAGTATAGATTTAAAAAAGCACATGTACCTACGATCTAATTGATAAACAATATCCTTTTATTGAAGTCGGTTACAAAACTTAAAACTTCTTTAATATAACATCACGCCTTTTATTCCCGAAGGGATAGGCAGAGGTGCATGTTACGGCACTTAATTCTATTGTACAAGGTAACACCCACTTTTCACTATTTGTGTTATGAGCCCAATGTAATATGGGATGAGCCTATTGTCGTATACCGGGCATAATTCTAGACTCCGTGCTACTACTGAGATTTTTTTAAGAAACCCAGTAATACTTTGCTGACCCGGGATTCGAACTCGAGACCTCTTGCAACTCGGTCAACAAGTCAATCAACAAAATCAGCCAAGGCTGTCAAAATATCAATGACATTATAAGTTGAAAAGGTGTCAATAGGTTATAAATGTCGAAATGTGACTACCTAATTAGCCTCATTTTACATCAGAATCGCGTACTCATCGCGTATTCATGTGTGCGTTATTGTGACGTTTTGAACATTGATTGTTGTTTAGATAACCTATCTTTATACTTAAAATATCTTTGGTTTTATTTAATCCTATAATTATATTATCGACAACAAAAGAAATTACCTTACATTACCTATCTAAAATTTAATACATTCCATCATGGCACCATAATATTGTATATGGATATCTAATCTACATACATACATATAACTATACTTAATTGCCAAGTTCCATAATGATAAAATCATTAATAAAGTGTGTGTAATAAAGATTATTAGGTTTTATTACAGTTCCTCACATGCCCACAACACCAGAGGAGGCTGAGTTAGAGATGTATGGTGAGATGGATACTGGAGTTGGACTTCCACACGAAACAAATCATAAAGACATAATAATATTTTTATTGATAACATATTTACTTTAATACATCACTTCGTATTCTTCATTACGACTAGTATGCTTAAAATGGCGTACGAGAATAAATATTATTATTATATACGCGATTAAGGTACAGCGTGTACCAAGAAATAGTCATTAAATGTTAAAGGATTGAAATAACAACCAGGTCATTTCTACCCATTTTATTAAAACGTATTACGCATAAAGATTCCAAAGAAAAAAAATGTTTGGTATCATTACAAAAATTACCATTTTGACTTAACATAAGCTCCTAATAAAATCAATTTTATCTGTAATGATACAATGCTCGTATTGTATAGAAAATACCCAGTGCGCCAACGTAATATATCACAGATTATACGAAAATGATATGGGTAAATAAATATTGCATTTCTAATGGCTAGTTTGAAGCAATGTACCAAACATCAGAATTGTCAGGAAGGGAGTAAAATTTTGAATAAAACTAAATAAAACAGTTTAAAGAAAATTTTTTCATGTTGATACGTTATTAAAATTTATCGATGGCATCAATTTGAGATTCAGTTTTGATATATATATGATTTAATGATAGCTGCATTTATCTATTATCTATACTAGTAAATAGATAAATATCTTAATACATTTACATATATTTATCACCTCTCCTATCATATCAAGAATATTAGCTTATGTATTTAAATTGTATACGTACTTTTGTAGAAAGTCGACTTTGTAAAGGAAAATTTTCATAGAAACCAATCATTTATTTTTTGGAACCTGTGAACTAAACAACAATATCTATGTTCTAGCAAGTTGACTACGTTTTTATAACTATACAACATGCGCATAAAACACTATGCTATATATTTAGTCGAGTAGCGAGTATTGGACTTGCTTCCGAAAAACTTCGCCACTACTACCAGCCAGAAGGAGCATTAGAAGAAGGATTGGAAGGATAATCGATAGGATCGTTTGTAGAGGAACCGATAGGGTCGTTTGTAGAGGAACCGATAGGGTCGTTTGTAGAGGAACCGATGGGATCGTTTGTAGAGGAACCGATAGGGTCGTTTGTAGAGGAACCTATAGGATCGTTTGTAGAGGAACCTATAGGATCGTTTGTAGAGGAACCGGTAGGATCGTTTGTAGAGGAACCGATAGGATCGTTTGTAGAGGAACCGGTAGGATCGTTTGTAGAGGAACCGATAGGATCGTTTGTAGAGGAACCGATAGGGTCGTTTGTAGAGGAACCGATAGGATCATTTGTAGAGGAACCGATAGGATCGTTTGTCGAGGAACCGATAGGATCGTTTGTCGAGGAACCGGTAGGATCGTATGTAGAGGAACCGGTAGGATCGTTTGTAGAGGAACCGATAGGATCGTTTGTAGAGGAACCGATAGGATCGTTTGTAGAGGAACCGATAGGATCGTTTGTAGAGGAACCGATAGGATCGTTTGTAGAGGAACCTATAGGATCGTTTGTAGAGGAACCGGTAGGATCGTTTGTAGAGGAACCGATAGGATCGTTTGTAGAGGAACCGATAGGGTCGTTTGTAGAGGAACCGATAGGATCATTTGTAGAGGAACCGATAGGATCGTTTGTCGAGGAACCGGTAGGATCGTATGTAGAGGAACCGATAGGATCGTATGTAGAGGAACCTATAGGATCGCTTGTAGAGGAACCGGTAGGATCGTATGTAGAGGAACCGATAGGATCGTATGTAGAGGAACTAATAGGATCGTTTGTAGAGGAATAGACAGGATCGTTAGTAGAGGAACCGATAGGATCGTATGTAGAGGAACCGATAGGATCGTATGTAGAAGAACCTATAGGGTCGTTTGTAGAGGAACCGATAGGATCGTTTGTAGAGGAACCGGTAGGATCGTATGTAGAGGAACCGATAGGATCGTTTGTAGAGGAATAGACAGGATCGTTAGTAGAGGAACCGGTAGAATCGTATGTAGAGGAACCGATAGGATCGTATGTAGAGGAACCGATAGGATCGTATGTAGAGGAACCTATAGGGTCGTTTGTAGAGGAACCGATAGGATCGTTTGTAGAGGAACCGATGGGATCGTTTGTAGGGGAACCGGTAGGATCGTATGTAGAGGAACCGACAGGATCATTAGTAGAGGAACCGGTAGGATCGTATGTAGAGGAACCGATAGGATCGTTTGTAGAGGAATAGACAGGATCGTTAGTAGAGGAACCGGTAGGATCGTATGTAGAGGAACCGATAGAATCGTATGTAGAGGAACCAATAGGATCATATGTAGAGGAACCTATAGGATCGTTTGTAGAGGAACCGATAGGATCGTTTGTAGAGGAACCGATGGGATCGTTTGTAGAGGAACCGGTAGGATCGTATGTAGAGGAACCGATAGGATCATTTGTAGAGGAACCGATAGGATCGTTTGTCGAGGAACCGGTAGGATCGTATGTAGAGGAACCGATAGGATCGTATGTAGAGGAACCTATAGGATCGCTTGTAGAGGAACCGGTAGGATCGTATGTAGAGGAACCGATAGGATCGTATGTAGAGGAACTAATAGGATCGTTTGTAGAGGAATAGACAGGATCGTTAGTAGAGGAACCGATAGGATCGTATGTAGAGGAACCGATAGGATCGTATGTAGAAGAACCTATAGGGTCGTTTGTAGAGGAACTGATAGGATCGTTTGTAGAGGAACCGGTAGGATCGTATGTAGAGGAACCGATAGGATCGTTTGTAGAGGAACCAATAGGATCGTTTGTCGAGGAACCGGTAGGATCGTATGTAGAGGAACCGATAGGATCGTATGTAGAGGAACCGATAGGATCGTATGTAGAGGAACCGATAGGATCGTTTGTAGAGGAACCGATAGGATCGTATGTAGAGGAACCGACAAGATCGTTAGTAGAGGAACCGGTAGGATCGTATGTAGAGGAACCGATAGGATCGTTTGTAGAGGAACCAATAGGATTGTTTGTCGAGGAACCGGTAGGGTCGTTTGTAGAGGAACCGATAGGATCGTATGTAGAGGAACCGATAGGATCGTTTGTAGAGGAACCGATAGGATCGTATGTAGAGGAACCGACAGGATCGTTAGTAGAGGAACCGGTAGGATCGTATGTAGAGGAACCGATAGGATCGTATGTAGAGGAACCTATAGGGTCGTTTGTAGAGGAATAGATAGGATCGTTTGTAGAGGAACCGGTAGGATCGTATGTAGAGGAACCCATAGGATCGTTTGTAGAGGAATAGACAGGATCGTATGTAGAGGAACCGATAGGATCGTATGTAGAGGAACCTATAGGGTCGTTTGTAGAGGAACCGATAGGATCATTTGTAGAAGAACCGATAGGATCGTTTGTAGAGGAATAGATAGGATCGTTTGTAGATGAATCAATAGGATCGCTTGTAGAGGAACCGATGGGATCGCTTGTAGAGGAACCGACAGGATCGTTTGTAGAGGAACCGGTAGGATCGTATGTGGAGGAACCGATAGGATCGCTTGTAGAGGAATAGATAGGATCGTTTGTAGAAGGATCGATAGGAGTATTTGTAGAGGAAGGGACGTTTGTAGAAGAGTCGGTAGGGAGGTCTGTAGAAGAATCAGTAGAAGGGTTTGTTGGCGGACTGGTAGAAGGAACGCTCAGCCTTGCTCTGTAGATCGTGCGAGCGACCCGTGCGCTGGCCGCGATGCCTTGCCACGTCTCTTCGTTGATGTGGTTGATGTACTGTGGCGGAACCTCGAATCTGTGTCCGTAACTTGGTAGCTCCAATGTTAACGAGAAGGGAACGCCGATAGACTGCAAATTAAAAATAACGATGTCTACAATTAATCAATATGTACTCTCGCTATTTTTCTAACATTATATATCCAAAAGATTTCAAATAATAATTTAAACACAGAAAAAAGACTGAATGGGTTTGAATGTTGGGCACAAGGGCAGACTATTATACAGAGGCTATGTGTAATAAAGCCACCAGCAGAAACTAAACTAGTAGTTGAAGAATTGAGCATTGCGCTGTCAGCCGGTATATATGAAAGTGAATAATAACTGTGAAGTATTACACTACATAACAAATTATAATAATAAATTATACAAGATGTAGTCTTAAAATCGTGTCATTTCTCGGGGGCATGTCACAGAAGTCATAAAGATTCAATGTAAGAGAAAATTTCGGGCCAATAGTTAAAAATACGTGTACAGTCTTAAACTGTACACGCTGTATATGGGTAGTGCTGATGCGGCAACTATGTCGCGTCGCGCGTTCGTAATTTAAGTATAAATAGTCATCGATTAAGTAAACTCTGTGTGTGCTAATAAACCAACGATAGAGAAAGGAATCGCCAACCTTCAACTTGTATAACTTAACTAATAAACGTATCATAAGTGATTCTTTCTCTTTGCACTCATCAACTCAACTGACTTAACTTCAAGAAGCAAACATCTTTACCAGCGAACCTAAGCAAGGTGTACTTAACCGTACATTTTATGGTCCTTCGAGCCGGATACTATAGTGTCTTAATACAGTAGCGAATCGGTGCAGCTGGCCTCTCAGAAGCGAGAATCCCCAGTTGTATTGAGAAGGCGCTCATACTGTAGAGAGTGCTAGAGTATTTGGACGTGAACACGCCACATTCAAGTAACTCGTCGCTGTGCTGCAGCAACTAACGAAGACGACTCTTCGATAACTCTTCGCCGAACCAGGTGAATCAACTTTAACTATAACTAGAAACACCAAGATGGACAAACTTGAGCTCCAGTCATCGTGTTTTAATAATATCAAGACCTTGTGTGTTAACTATCGCAAGGACTCTTCAGTCCGCAAAACTGTGGACTACTTAAACAAACGGCTATCTTCTCTAGAACATCAATGGGAGGATTTCGATAACAGACATGCTCTCTTAGTACTAGAACTAGAAGATAAGAAAATTAACTACTTCGCCGACGACATCTACGGGAAAACCAAGGAGATGTACGTGGCCACTAAAACCGATATCACTAACAGGATAACGGAATTACACGAACAACAAAAAGAGGTACAATTTGACTTAACTGGTACTTCGGAAGACTTAACTACGGAGCGTGGTGACAAGCAACAGTTGTTACTTCAAAAACAAGAATGCAACTTTAACGCCATATACCGAACCATGGAAAAAATCAACATGATGCCTATATCTGAACAATGGGAATTAGAAGATCATCTGTCGACCTTGAAATCCAAGTGGGATCCCATCGATAATCTCCATTGGCAAATAGATTTCCTATTGAAGGGTTCGAATGAAGAATACTACAAAACGTTTTCGGATGTTGAACAAAGGTACGATGACTTGCGAACTAAGCTTAACTCCACCAAGTGGTCGAATGCCCATTATAAAAAATCCGCACCCAAGATCGACCTTCCGGAATTCTCAGGCAACTATATTCAGTGGATCTCCTTTAAGGATTTGTTTTTGGAAACCATCCATAAAAATCCAGTAATCAACCCCGCTCAAAAAATGCAACACCTAAAATCTAAATTGAGAGGCGAAGCTGAGCGCTTAGTACAACATTTGACATTATGTACTGAGAATTACAACACTTGCTGGGATATTCTGACCCAGCGTTACGATAATCGGCGTCTGCAGTTTACTGCCTACATGAATACTATATTGAATCTCCCTGTCATACAACATCCAGATTCATTTAACTTGAAGAAGATGCATGACGTCATCACAGAGTGTCTAAACGGCATTTCTAACATCGGCATTGACACTGCTTCCTGGGACCCGATCATCGTACATATCATGTCTCAAAAACTCGACACAAGCACTCTGAGCGATTATATGAAGGAGTTACAAGACCATAGAGAATTACAGAATTTACGTGATTTTCTATACTTTCTGGAAACGCAATTTATGGCCTACGAAACCATGAAATCAACTAAGAAAGGAAACATACTAAGCGCCGACAACCCATCTTCCAATAAATCATACAAGCAAACCCCGATGAAAAACATTTACTATCGACCTGTCAGAACAAACAACTATTTCGCAACATACGGGAAATGCCCACATTGCAAAGGGACTCACGTTCTAATGAATTGCGATAAATTTATTGAATTGGGAGCAAGCAAACGCAATGAAATTATCACGAAATTGCAACTCTGTAAGAATTGTCTATTCAGTCACGGCGATCAAGAATGTAGGTCAACTAAAACCTGCAAAGAGTGCAACTTGAAGCATCATACGCTGTTGCACAACTCGGAGCGGAAACCAATTACTTTACCTAATAAGTTTCGTCAGCGCCCGTCCACATCAACCCAGGCCCAAACATCTAACCATCTGTCAGACAGCAACTTAGAGGTTTTGTTGACTACCGTTCAGCTGAAAATTCAAGCAATGGACGGAACCTATATCAAATTGCGAGCTCTCCTTGACCAAGGTTCACAAGTAAACCTAATTACGGAGAATGCAGCCCAAATGTTACGTCTACCACGCAAAAGGATCAACGCGTGTGTAACCGGAATTGGAACTGTTTCCGGGGAATGCAGAGGGCAACTCAACTTGATATGCCAGTCAATCCACTCCGATTATACATTTAAAACTCAAGCCCTCATTATGAAAAAACTAACTAATAACCTACCGAACAAAACATTTGAAAAAACAATATGGCCGCATCTGGAGAACTTAAAACTAGCGGATCCAGAATACAACATCTCACGTCATATCGATGTCATATTAGGAGCTGATATATATTCTGATATCATCCTGGACGGTGTCTTAAAGGGATACAACCAATCTCCTGTTGCTCAACAAACACACCTTGGGTGGATTTTGTGTGGCAAGATGAAAACTGTAAATTGTCACGCAACTATGATAAACTTAGAAGAACTTACAAGGTTTTGGAATATTGAAGACATCGAAACTCCCCAAGACTCATCAACAGACGATCAATGTGAACAATTTTATAAAGAAACTGTCTTACGATCGGAAGATGGGAAATACATTGTGAAAATGCCGCTATGTTTTGACTTTGAAGATAAATTAGGCAGTTCAAAGTCCACAGCTATTTCACAGTATTTACAATTAGAAAAACGACTCAAAAATAATGAAAAACTTCGTGGCATGTACCAAGAATTTATTAAAGAATATGCGGACCTCGGTCACATGAAACCAGCATCATACGTGTCTACGAAGAAATGTTACTACTTACCACATCACGGGGTTATTAGAGAAAACGCACTGACAACAAAATTAAGAGTCGTGTTTAATGCGTCGCAGAAGACCTCAACTGGCTATAGCTTGAACAACTTAATGGAAACCGGAGCTAATTTACAAAAGGACATCCTGAGTCTCATATTGAAGTGGAGAACGTACAAATATGCATTCACCGCTGATATAGAGAAAATGTTTCGTTGCCTTTGGCTTTCCGAAGATCAGCAACATCTTCAAAGAATCATCTGGCGGAACTCGACTTCTGGCAATTTGCAGGCATTCCAATTGCGCACTGTCACGTATGGCACAAAAGCTGCACCATGGCTAGCAATGCGTACATTGAAACAACTTGCGACGGATGATGGTCACAAGTACCCCGAAGCAGCTCGCACTCTTATTACATCGTGTTATATGGATGACGTAATCACCGGTCATAACGATATTGAGAATGCCCAACATTTACAACAATCGTTAATCCAACTATTGCGAGGAGGAGGCATGAATCTGCGGAAATGGACCGCCAACCACCCAGATTTAATAAAAAACCTAAGTGAAGATCAAATCTCAAACAAAAGGATGTTCGATTTCAAAAATGAAGAGTCTTCAAAGGCATTAGGTCTCACTTGGAATCCCAGTAGCGATACCTTCCACTTCAACTGGCCAATAAAACATCATAAACGCCAAACGAAAAGATCCTTACTCTCTAATATCTCAAGATTTTATGATCCTCTGGGCTGGTTGTCACCAGTAACTATTAAAGCCAAGTTACTTTTCCAAAAACTATGGATGAGTAAACTTGCGTGGGATGACGAAGTTCCAAGTGACATTGAAACCGATTGGATGAAACTAATAACTGACCTATCTATTATCAAAAACATGTCCCTTACAAGATGGATACAGTATAAACAACAACATGTCGAGCTACTCGGATTCTGTGATGCAAGTGAGAAAGCCTACGCTTGTGTCATTTACAGCAGAGTGTTCAACGAACATGGACTTCCCATAGTAACTCTACTTGCCGGGAAAACGAGGGTTGCCCCGCTGACGCCGAAAACTACTTTGCCCAGACTTGAACTATGTGCCGCTCAGCTGTTGGCAAACCTCATGGAGAAAACAAAGGAAGCTTTCACTGGATATGATGTCTCCATAAAAGCCTGGTCAGACTCACAAGTTGTGTTGGCGTGGATACAGGGTGACTCGTCAAGGTGGGAACAGTATGTCGCTAACAGAGTAACAAGTATTAAACGCATAATCCCAGCGAACGAGTGGCGATATGTGAAATCTGAACAGAACGCAGCAGACTGTGCCTCAAGAGGGCTATTGCCTAGCCAATTACTCCACTTCAAGTTATGGTGGCAAGGCCCTGAGTTTTTAACTAAACAGGAAAATATGGAAGAAAATCTTTACTCATACACAACTAACATTGAATGCATAAACCACGTTGCAACAAAACATAATCCAACGCAGCCAACTGATCACGTAATAACTACTTTATTGAACAATTATAGTTCATTGACACGAATAACGCGAGTCGTCGCATGGATACAACGCTTCATAGCAAATATGCGTACTAAGGCGAAATCAAACACCGCACACCTAACAACGAACGAACTAAGCGCAGCAACTAGAAGTATCGTTATTCATGTGCAGCGATTGGAATTCAATCCCGAATACATTCAACTGCTACAAACTAAAACTGTATCCAGGAAAAGTTCCATTTATAAACTGAATCCTTATTTAGATTCCCATGGGATTATTTGCGTTGGAGGTCGTTTGAAGAACTCAGGTTTGCCTTCTGACATGAAACATCCAATGATAATACCTCACAAGGGACGCTTCACTCAACTTTTAATTGCACAAGCTCATACTATCACGCTACATGGAGGAGCCCGGTTGACTTTGACATACATCAGGCAACGGTACTGGATCATCGGTGGGAACCGTGCTGTGAAGGCTGAACTGATAAAATGCATACGTTGCCATCGATTCAAAAGGACTGACAATCATCAGATAATGGGTAATCTTCCTCAGTATAGAATAACACCCTGTCGACCGTTTACACATACCGGAGTTGACTTTTCCGGGCATGTTGACATCAAGCTTAACAAGGGCAGGGGAGTCAAAACGTCAAAGGGCTATATCGCAATCTTTATCTGTATGGCTACGAAAGCTGTGCATATTGAACTCGTCTCTGACCTTAGTACGGAAACATTTATAGCCGCTTTTCAAAGATTTTGTGCAAGACGGGGAACGCCCAAGCACATGTACTCAGATTGCGGCACTAATTTCGTTGGCGCTGCAAGAGTACTTCGACAAGAATTTGAAATATTTAAGCGACAGCTATTATCATCAGACTTGTTGAACACACTAGCTGACCTAGAAATTGAATGGCACTTTAACGCACCAGGTTGGCCCAGTGCTGGTGGACTATGGGAGGCGGCGGTTAAATCAATGAAATACCATCTGCGTCGGGTATTAGGAGAGCAAAAATTGACCTATGAGGAGTTCACAACACTCTTAACTAAAATAGAGGCGTGTCTGAATTCACGACCATTGTGCCCTCTTACCGAAGACCCGGAAGAGTTTTATAATTGCTTAACTCCAGGTCATTTTCTCACAGGAACCCCAACATTGTCACTCCCGCTATCCAACTGTCCGGAAGTTAACAATGTTGATTTACGTCGTAGATGGCAGTTGCTCGAGCAAATGTTTAACCAGTACTGGAAGAATTGGTCCAATGAATATCTTACTACGTTACAAAGTCGTAGCAAATGGAATAAGCCTACAACTAACATCAAACAAGGTGACATTGTACTGGTGAAAGATAACAACCTTCCACCGGCCAAGTGGGCTTTGGGACGAGTGATGGAGACACATCCTGGAGCTGACGGTTATGTTCGCGTCACAACCATAAAAACTAAATTGGGAATTATCAAACGCCCAGTAGTAAAACTATCACCGTTACCATTAAATTCAGACGCTGAAACTACGGGTGAGCAAAATAGCGCACCTCAAACGACGTCAGCTAAGAAACATCGAACAAAATCCAATAAATGTCTCTCAACATTTTTAATTACAATATTATCAATGTTTACATTTATGTCGGTATCACATTGCGCTATTGACGGCACGCGCCAAGCGCCGGGAGCTCAAATTACAAGATTGGAACATGAGCGGCCCGTATACTATGATGAAATTGGCAGAATGCAATTAATACATGACGAATGGATTTTAGTTATGTACTATAATTTAACTAATTATTGGGAAGGAACTAACCGCATTGAAACTTATTTTAACCATTTGAAAAATGTCTGCGACCAAACGAAACTACAACTGTGTAAAACAACTATAGAACAACTGGAACACGAAATTCAACTTCTCCGCTATTACAACTATGTTTTAATAAATCCACACAAACACCTCAGCATCAGAAAGAAACGAGGATTAATCGATGGTGTGGGTTATTTAGCTAATAGCTTATTTGGGATACTCGATCAGCACTTTGCCGAGAAATATCAACACGATATTCAGTCTCTGCAGAACAATGAAGACTACCTGTTTGAATTAATAAAAAATCAGACAAGTATTGTAGAACTAGAAAACGATGTCCTGAAGAAAAGCGAAGACAACATACAGCGTCAGTTCAAGCTAATTGATAAGTTCGTCAACCAAACTAATAAGAATTTGGCCTCTATTGAGTCTGAGATGGAGATACTTTCAGCAACTTCTTACATAAACTCTGCGTCTTTTACAACATTTCTTCTAATCAACAACATGAGAACCTTCCAAGAAATGTTATTTAACACGCTGACGAACATATACCAAGGCCATCTAGATGTGCATTTAATAACTCCGGTACACTTAATCGAACAGTTAAATGAAATATCGGGAAGTCTTCCAAAAACTGTGTCATTGCCAGTCGACAATTATAAGGAGCACATAAAGGATCTTTATAAAATAATAAATGTGAAGGCTCGAGTAACAGAAGTATACTTCCTCTTCGAGGCTCACATACCACTTATCGCTAACGATGACTTCATTATCTACAAACCCATACCTCTGCCTATTAGAATGAACGAATCTACTGGACATGTGCAGATATCATCCGATTATGTCGCTATAAATCTCAAAACGAATACATATATCTCATTGACAAAGGAAGACTTCAAGGAATGCCTGCAACAAAAATCAAATATTTACCTTTGCAAGAAAAACCTGCCGGCTTTCAATTTGCATAGCAACCGTGCACCATGCGAGGCTAAACTGCTGTCGCATCACAACACGGCGCCGTGCGATATGGAACGAACAGTTTGCAAGGACGCGTGGATCCAATTACACTCTTCAAACAGCTGGTTAGCGACTTGCTGCGACATATGCACATTACGTACTATTTGTAACAACGACGTGACGACGTACACTATGACGTCATCGAGCATAGTCTCTATAACTCAAGGATGTGTAATGCAGTCCAAAGATTTGACAATTTACACTCCGCACCAGTATAACAGTCACTTGAAGATGGACTACGAGTTATCTGTTCCTACTTTGGACAGCTCTATAAATAAGATCGTTAATCTAACGTACACTTATGTTCCTAATCAATTCCAAGACACTGCAGAAAGGGTAGAAATGAAGAATATAGAGGATAAGGTTAAAACACAACAAGATAATGAGAATCGACAACTCGACACGATCTCCAGCCACGATGTTCATCAATATGCTATCAGCTACCTTATGTTAGCATCTGCCGCAATTGCTTTGCTTGTGGTGTTTGGAAGGAAGCGTTGTCGCAGGATTTCAACTAAACAACCAAGCGCATCGAATAACGAAGAACATCAAGACATTGAACTACAAATTATCCATAGACCCAGTGACAACCAGCTCAATGAATCAGCCACAACAGCATCACCGAGCGAGGAGTACCCGGAGCAGCATCAACCTGGGAAATCTCGCCGAAGTAGCAGAACCGGAACAAGAAACGTCGCATTTAATTTTGACTAATGAATAATTTGCTTTGTAATGGCTTTTCCTTTTCTCTATCTTTTATATTAACTAGTTTTTCTTTTGGGGTGGCAAGATGTACAGTCTTAAACTGTACACGCTGTATATGGGTAGTGCTGATGCGGCAACTATGTCGCGTCGCGCGTTCGTAATTTAAGTATAAATAGTCATCGATTAAGTAAACTCTGTGTGTGCTAATAAACCAACGATAGAGAAAGGAATCGCCAACCTTCAACTTGTATAACTTAACTAATAAACGTATCATAAGTGATTCTTTCTCTTTGCACTCATCAACTCAACTGACTTAACTTCAAGAAGCAAACATCTTTACCAGCGAATCTATAATAAATCGTTTAAGTTCGACAGTATTTCAGAATAAGCGACAGCAATGTTTCTTATTGGAGTTTTATGGAATAAGGAATAATATCAATTTTGTGTTTGAGTTTGTGTGTGTTGAGCCGCGTTATAAAGCTCGTTACAAGACGGCGGCATGTAATTTGCACTAACGGATTTCCGTAATTTTTTTATAGATTCGGATTCAGAATTGATAGCCGAGTTACCTCCTAGAAAATTATGCGGCTTTAAAGCAACACCTTGTATAAAAAGTGAAGCGTTTATCGAAATAGTAAATTTAGACATTTCAGCAGATAAACAAAAACGATTAGTAGGCGCGAATTAAAATTGCGTGATAATATTTACTTTGTTAAATGTTATATTTAGTCATTATATGTTAAATAGTGTCATTATTTGTCTTTTTTCCTCTGTTATCTTCAGCCCCATATCTTGAAGGGAGAATTGCAAGGAAGAGGGTAGGGGTTTCACCTTCACTAAATTCACTCAAAAATATTACTTATTTACATTTTGTTAAGAATTTTAAAACTAGTTTCAATAGCCAATAGCCTACCTGAGCATTAAATTTAAAGAAATATGAACCAAGTAACGAAGCTTACCTGAGCATAGTCCTGGGCACATCCCGCGGTTAAGTACATCAAGATACCACTGTTGCCCACTCTATAGAAATTAGCTTCAGGCAGTTTGTTCACGTCTATAGCTGCCCCCATCACCGCAGACACCAGGTGCAGCTCTACAGGATTCGGTGGCAACGAACCATCGCCATAGCCATACGTTATATAATTGCCGAAACTGTGGACGTCCATGAATATTTGGATCCGGTCCACGTGTTCCAGCAGAACGTCTCGGACGTATGCAGTCTCCACTTCCGAGAAGGGTTCAGGTCCAGGGTAGATATTCGAACAGGGATTCGAGCTAGCCCCAATTAAACCAAAGTTTACGGAATCATAATTTCTGTTGCCGTCCACACCCCAGCATGTAGCATTGATTTCTGGTCTGTGCGACCTTGTCTTTCGCCAGAGACGTTCCTAAAAAATTCCACAAATTTAATTTTAGTAAATTTTATTATTTATTAGATAACAGTTAAGTGTGGAAGAACCATGCTTCAGCATGAATGGTCCAGCTTGACCGGAATGGTACCTCGGCCTTACAGAAAAACTACGATACGAGATTTTGGGGATGACACCAATCTCCAAATCCTCATCCAACTAGGGAAATGAATGAACAAAAACGCACGTGGAACAAGAACAAAATAAATGGAGTTCATCACTCACAGTCGTATGTGAGTACTCGTAACCGTCAGGGTTGAGTAGCGGCATGATGATCCAGTCGATGTCCTCCCGCAGGTCTCGATCCTGACTTCTCAAGTTCTCCACCAGGCGGTGCACGGAGTACAGGAGGGTTGGAGTGGTCACCCACTCGCGCGCGTGGATCATCGCAGTCAACATGTAGATAGGTTTACTACTGTCTTCGAAGTTGCTTGTTGAAATCTGATTGGTGCAATTTAATATTATTTACAAACAATTTAAAGTTAATTCCAATAATTGAAACCATTCATGATCATGAATAAGATCGCACATTCAATATTACATAATACTTATACTGATGATGTACTCATAGCAGTAAACCGTAAAATGAACACAAACCTTCAAGTATTTAATGTCGCGTCCTTCAAAACTTTTACCAGCTGTGACAACACGGACCAGGTCGGAGTACTGTTGACCAATCCTATCCATGTGTGCATTAATCTGTGAAAAGAAATGTATGTTACAAACATCACGACAAAATTTAAATACGAACAGAAAATTTAAAGAATAATGTTGTTCTCATATTTTCAAATGTACTCCGGTACAATAATAGAGGTATATTGTTAAATTAGATAAAAATAATAATCGATTAATCTTGATCTAATTTAAAAAAAAAGATCAGATAGTAAATAAAATTACTAGTCATAGAATTAATACTGTACTACTAATTCGTAATAATTTATGAAGTTCCATTGGACTTCATAATTTCTTTTTTGCATTAAAAAATCTAAATGAAATCAGTCGAGAGCAATGACCACACGACACAATGTTTATGCAAACTTTTAACTACAAATTGAATAAATAATGCAGTGTGCTATTTACTTTGTTTGGGGTGAAATCACACAAAAACCGGATTAGGAGTGTGTGTCAGTGGATCTGCTCTAGAATTTATCTCTGATTGTAGTAAAAACATCCTTTGTAGACAGTAATCTGCACTAAGGTTCTTGGAAGTACTTACTTCATCATATCGGGGGTAGTCATTGAACAACATTCTATTTCGTCTTGAAGCCCTCCACGAGTTCATTTCATTGTCTCGCTCTTCTAAGTCCCTGTGGTGAAATTAGTAACTGATAATCGATAATGATAAATTGAGAATTAGATAACTCTGACTAAGTCAAATTGTTAACAGATAAATTTTGTATCTACTGCAATATAGTCAAATCCATATCTCAAAAATCAGGCAAAAACATGATCACACATACTGAGCAACATCTTCCAAGTGGACGTAGTGTTTTATTCCTTCTTCATCCAAAGCATTCAGGAAATGTTCCTTGTTCTCAGGTGCTACTCTGATGAAAGCTTCCCTCTCCGAGATAATGCCGTGCTGCCAGACGTCCAGGTCCAGCATTGGCTCCAGATCATGCAGGAGCATTTGATGTGATCTACTCCGTACATGTACTCCGTACACTGAATGCCTGTGGATGAAGATGAGCAACGAAAGGCATAAGTAAGAATAACTGTTGTTATGTTTAGTGGAGACACTGAGAAGGGCTATCAAAGAAAAGCTGATACAGGGAGTCGTTTGCAAAGACATCAAAGTTCATTATTATTATTATCATCATCATCATCATCATCTTATCAGCCAAAATACGTCCATTGCTGGATACAGGCCTCTCCAAATGATTTCCATATAGGCCGGTTCGAAGTGAGCTGCTTGCAGTGGCTCCATGCGACATTAATCTTGTTAATCTGCTGGGCTATGTCGGTGACATTTGTTTATTTTCAGATCTCCTCAATTTTGATTCGATCTATCGAAAAAACTCTGAGAATAGTCCTTTTAGTGAGAAACCACGTCATGGTTCCATAGATCATCACTGGTAACACACTGATAATAGACTTTCATCCTGATGCACTGAGATATGTTAAACGAGAAGCTGTTGCGTATTTTTCCGCACGCTGCCCATCCAAGTCGAAAATCGATTGAAGAAAAAGTTTTGCAGATGAAGGTAAAGATGATGACGATGTCTGTACAGCGACGTATCGTACCCGGAGTAGATGTCATGTTTCCCCGCCTGCACCACGCTCAGCACGGTCGCGCACACCACGAGTAAGTGTCTGATCATCATGGTGTGTCGCTCCCAACTGACTGCTTCATCACTACACTGATTTTATCACTTTATCAAACTATTTTAATATTATCGTATGAATATTTTATAATCATCTAGATATGAGTGCTTAGCTATTAAAGGATTATTGACCACATTGAGACATGCGTGTTATTTTAGACTAGCAGTCCGTCCCAGCTTTGCACGGTTGGATATTGATTTTGGAATAATTTTTACTTTTTGAATAACGACAGTGTACCTTTTTAAGAGGGGAGGGGAATCATCCAATGACTACTTCGGCTTTGGATGAGGCTAGGCAGGGAGTGCTGGATTCTTTCTGAATAAAACTTTCCTACTCCTGCTTCGGCCCGGAGCACCAAACAAGTCATTTGTAACTCCGTATCGGGCACCAGTCCTACTGGGCTCCATCTGTGGTAGTCTGTCGGTTCTATTCAGCGCGCGAAAAACACGATGCGCCATACGCTCGGTTCAGGGCGCTTACTCTTGAAACCAATCTCAATGTCAATGCAATTTCAATCCAATATGATCTCAATAATTATTAAATGTCAACACTATACAACCACAATCTTAGCTGTTACAATAGCATTCAGAGTACGGAATATAAAGACAAACTCAATACCATTTAGTTCATTCAATATCTACGCAATACGGATGCAATGGGCTCTAGTATTGCAACTCAAGAGTACGAAATTTCGCAATACCAATGTCGATCGATCGGAATTGGATTCAAGAGTAAGCCCCCAGGTCCTGGTCGGGGCCGAAAATCATTTCGTAATCCCCGACGCCCGAAGTGTCTCTCACGACAGCTTCGTTCCCTCACGCGCCCCACCTCCTTCTTAACTAGCATGATTGCATGGCAGTAGAAGGAGAAGGTATCCCAGTTCCACTCCCTCCGCACCATGGCCTGAACCACCTATTCTGATTCTGGCTCCATTCCTCTGACCTCTCGGTCACCGTCACCGACCACAAGCACGGACGACACGATGGTGCTCAGCCCATGTAGCGCACACCGCCACTGTATAATCCACTGCATCTTCTGGGTGGTCTTCGCTGTAATAACACCCAGACGTTTCTTTAAAATCAGAAACAGGTACCTCTTGAAACTTTGGGGCCCGGCAAGCCCCGACGTCAGGCGGTGGATGCCGACGCCGTAGCGTCTCTTAAGCTAACCTTCAAAGACCTTACTGTTGTAATGACATGTAACGATGTATGATGTGGGATGTGTATGTAATATGTTCTTTATGATTTGTAATATCTACCTACAATGTTAATAACAATGAATGTATACCTACATAACTAAAAATGTTGCAATGTCTGTAAGAGGCCGCTAAGTAGTAAGCACTGTAATAATTTTATAACCATCATCTGTACACTTAGTTGCAATAAACGCTTTGACTTTGACTTTGACTTATGTGTAACTGTGACAGTTACATATATTATATTGCGGACGTTGATATTATGTTCCCAAGCAAAGCAATATAAGGAGTATTTTTCTTATTTTTTCACACATCGGGTTACATTATCGAATTTGCACACGGGTCCCCTTTTCTTTCTTTTTAATTATCGCCTATGTTCATCAGGATTAGGGAGGATTCCAACGGTAAAACATTTTCTCAAATAATTTAATACTTAGTTTCAGAGCCTGTTCAATTCAGACAAACAAACAATAAACGTAATATTTCGTATTTATAATATTAGTATAGATAAAATATTATAATAGGAAAAATTACATAGGGTATTCGAAGAAGCTAGATATCTGGATGCTATCTGGTTTATACAGGTAATAACTTGCTAGTCAGATATCAAAAAGGAAAGGATCCGGCTTTCCGGCTCAGTCTCAAGCGTTTCACGTTGAGTCATGGCAGATGATATGTCTATCTCCTGTCTCTTTACACATAGCAATGTTAACATATTTTTCAAGTATGATAGTAGAAGTACCGGTACTTTTTATAGGCGCTAAGCTCGTGACAGACTCCTGACGAGGCTTATTGAAGTCATAATGATATGTTTGACTGCCTTCTTTGGAGAACTTGACTTTGTCGACTTTTACAGGAATACTACGCTTAGTTGAGACCACCACGACCAAACTCATTTTCATAATTTCTGTATCATTTCATCCATAACATTTAAAGCCACAGCCTAGTAATGTAGGCCTCAATAACATGTTCATGCGACAATATAATGGTCAAAAAATATTTATGTATGGGAGAGCCATGCTTCGGCACGAATGATCGGAGACATAACGCGGCCTCATAGAAAACCGACGTGAAACAACGCTTGCATTGTTTCACGTCGTGTGAGGTTACCGGAGGCCCAAATACCTCCAAGCTCCCCAAACCCTGAATCCACAACAATTCTCACATTCCTAATCCCCAAAATGCCAGTAACACACTTATAACGTCTTTGGTGTTCCGGGGGTCTATGGGCGATTGTTTACCATCTGGCGGTTCGTCTGCTCGTTTACCGGCTCATTCCATAAAAAAACACTGCACGGGTTTCAGATCAGCAAAAATCGAGCTTTGCTCATAGAAAAAACTAAGGAGCTCATTATAACTGTTCACCAGGATGTGCATTATGTCATCGACACCACTCAATGTTAACATAAGTGTCTCGGCTGTGCACACCCATCCATCATTATCAGCAACTTAACACAGGGATCCATTAATTAAAGCCTGTTCACATCGATCGTTAGTTCAAAATTCTCATTACATTGCGCGCTCACTCGCGGATTGATTGATTCGATTTCCCTCTTATGTATACTAACTTTATAATGGGGTTTAATTGCAGAGGTCAAGTGGTTTTGATCGAATACGTGAAACATGAAGATATGGATCTCATACTCTTTTAGTATTTATGTTTAGTATTTATGGTTATGCAAACTAAGCGTGTATGCAAAATTTCAGCTCTCTCTCTCTCTCTCTCTCTTTCTCTTTCTCGTGTATTATGTTAAACAGTTTCAATGACCTCTATTCTACCAATCAAGCCTTTATATTTGATATTCACACTTTGTTGCATGTTGTACAAAAAAAAAAATATAATAGATTGATCTGTCATTAGAAGGAGTAAAATATTCTAATGGCTTGATGCAACTAAACAAGGAAAATTATTACAAACAAGGACATACAAAAATAAAGAGACTACGTTATTTTATATACATAATGTATTTGTCACTAAGGTAATAGATTAAGTAAATAAAATAAAAATGCGCATGCGCGCGTGCGTGGTTGTGTGTGCAAAGATTTGTTTGTGCATGTGTGTTAGTTTTTACATTTTCGATTAGAAAATTGTAAAAAAATATTTTGATGTATGTATCCTGCATACATATACATATGCAATTAGTAAAAGCGATATAGCGTCAATATTACAAACAGACATTCCAATTTTATTTATGTATGTCTATGTGTAAATATAGATTTACTTCCATCTATCCGTTTTTATCTGCATTGATTGTAATTATCAATCAGACCTCGTGCCATTTCTCCTGTGTTCTCAATGAAGGAAAGCTAACAAGAAACCTTTTAAAAAAATATTAAATTATTATTTGTTATATAATATGTTATGTTAAACTATTATTAATTATTATTAGGAGGGTTAACTGGAGGGTTGACAGGAGAGCTCGGCCTCATCCTGTAGAACTTGCGAGCGAGCCTGGCACTCTCCGCGATGCCGTACCACGTCTCGTCATTGATCTGACCAATGTACTGTGGAGGAGCCTCGAAATCATGCCCGTAGCTTGGCAGCTCCAGTGTCAACGAGAGGGAACGCCTATAGACTGGAAAAACAAACATCTTATTAGGAAAACATAAAACCAAATAATCTTTCTAATAAAGGCAACACGGTTTATTTTTGTTACATCTTTACAAAAGCCTGGCCCTCAGATATTTTCCCTGTATCATACAGATACAATTACACACAATCAAGGTTATAACATGCGTTAGATTTAAATAAGTGATTTCGTATTAAAACTTTAGTGATACATATTTGGTAAACTGTACAAATACAAATAATTTACGCAAACTGTGTTTATCTAAAAAATAAATCTGAACATGTCTGTAGATAAACGAATGATTATTAGGTGCGGATTAAAATTATAAGTAGAACTTGATAAGATGTTTTACAATTCAAACGTGTTGTATGAAATTAGTCAGAGATTGAATATGCTCATCATTGTAAAGTTATCGTTTACTGCTGAACCTTTTCTTGGAGATTGCAATAAGCCCCACGCTTGTCCACCACCGGGCCACAGACATAATAACAAGAATTGTTATTATTTAAGGAATTATCAACCAAGTAACGAAGCCTACCTGAGCATAGTCTTGAGCACATCCCGCCGTTGGGTACATCAAGATGCCACTATTGCCCACTCTGTAGAAATAAGCCTCAGGCAGTTTGTATATGTCTATAGCTGCCCCCATCACCGCAGACACCAGGTGCAGCTCTACAGGATTCGGTGGCAACGAACCATCGCCATAGCCATACGTTATATAATTGCCGTAACTGTGGACGTCCATGAATATTTGGATCCGGTCCACGTGTTCCAGCAGAACGTCTCGGACGTATGCAGTCTCCACTTCCGAGAAGGGTTCAGGTCCAGGGTAGATATCCGAACAGGGATTCGAGCTAGCCCCAATTAAACCAAAGTTTACGGAATCATAATTTCTGTTGCCGTCCACACCCCAGCATGTAGCATTGATTTCCGGTCTGTGCGACCTTGTCTTTCGCCAGAGACGTTCCTAAAAAATTCACAAATTTAATTTTAGTAAATTTTATTATTTGTTAGATAACAGTTAAGTGTGGAAGAACCATGCTTCAGCATGAATGGTCCAGCTTGACCGGAATGGTACCTCGGCCTTACAGAAAACCTACGATACGGGATTTTGGGGAGGACTCCAATCTCCAAATCCTCATCCAACTAGGGAAATGAATGAACTAAAACGCACGTGGAACAAGAACAAAATAAATGGAGTTCATCACTCACAGTCGTATGTGAGTACTCGTAACCGTCAGGGTTGAGTAGCGGCATGATGATCCAGTCGATGTCCTCCCGCAGGTCTCGATCCTGACTTCTCAAGTTCTCCACCAGGCGGTGCACGGAGTACAGGAGGGTTGGAGTGGTCACCCACTCGCGCGCGTGGATCATCGCAGTCAACATGTAGATAGGTTTACTACTGTCTTCGAAGTTGCTTGTTGAAATCTGATTGGTGCAATTTAGTATTATTTACAAACAATTTAAAGTTAATTCCAATAATTGAAACCATTAATGATCATGAATAAGATCGCACATTCAATATTACATAATATTTATACTGATGATGTACTCATAGCAGTAAACCGTAAAATGAACACAAACCTTCAAGTATTTAATGTCGCGTCCTTCAAAACTTTTACCAGCTGTGACAACGCGGACCAGACTGGGGTGCTGGAGAGCAATCCTATCCATGAACGCATTAATCTGTAAAACGAAATATATATCACTTTACAATACCGCACACTTATTTATAGGTACCTTAAATTGAAAAACTGTCCAAACATTTCATTTTTAACATCGAACATTCCAATGTGTAAATAGTAAAGTTAATAAAATTTACAGAGTTTCAATACGGCTTCCGACCCGGTCACGGTATTACGGACCCCGTCTTTTGTCGTGTCATGGAGAAAAACAGGACGAAGAAGACCTTTTCATTTGCTGTACCTACATATGGACATGGATTTAAACCGGCAAACTATGTGAGTAGCAAATGCCTGGCTATAACGCCGCCGCCAGGACCGGGCAAGAGAGGAAGACCTAAAAAGTGCTTGCTTGATGTCCTGGCTGACGATATGCTCACTACCCATGCCAAAGACTGCTGAAGAAGAGGAGAGAACAAATCATAGAAGAGGTAGTAAAGTTAATACGTGCTGCATTCACGCCCAGTAAGTATTTCTGTTTCGAAAAATTTAACGCGCTTAGCCATTTTGAACTTCAGAATTTAATCATTGTTATTATGTTTTGTAAATTGATATATTTTCAGGGTTATCAATCGTCCGTCGATAAGATAAGATAACAAAGAATCAGATGATAAATAAAATTTCAAATCGCGAACTTAAAAAAAACTATACAAAAAAATCTAGGTTCTACAATCAATATAATCATACCTACAACTAATCCCTAAGGTTTCAGGTATTTAATTGTGAGTTCGATTTTACAAAAAACAAAACGTAATTAGTTGAGAGCAATACCCACAAAGCTTTCAACTAACAATTGAATAATGCAGTGTGTGTGTGTTTACTTCGTTTGGGGTTGAACCACACAAAACCGGATTAGGAGTGTGTGTCAGTGGATCTGCTCTAGAACTTATCTCTGATTGTAGTAAAAACATTCTTTGTAGACAGTAATCTGCACTAAGGTCCTTGGAAGTACTTACTTCATCATATCGGGGGTAGTCATTGAACAACATTCTATTTCGTCTTGAAGCCCTCCACGAGTTCATTTCATTGTCTCGCTGTTCTAAGGTCCTGTGGTGAAATAAGTAACTGATACTCAGAAAATAATTATCATTGACAATTAAAAACTTCTACTCAGTCAAATTGTTAGCTGATAAATTTTATATGTACTGCAATATAGTCAAATCTATATCTCAAAAATCAGACAAAAACATGATCACACATACTGAGCAACATCTTCCAAGTGGACGTAGTGTTTTATTCCTTCTTCATCCAAAGCATTCAGGAAATGTTCCTTGTTCTCAGGTGCTACTCTGATGAAAGCTTCCCTCTCCGAGATAATGCCGTGCTGCCAGACGTCCAGGTCCAGTATTGGCTCCAGATCATGCAGGAGCATCTGATGTGCTTTACTCCGAACATGCACTCCATACACTGAATGCCTGTAATTGGAGATTAACAACGAAAGCATAAATGGTTGGAATATTTAGTGATGACACTAGAATATATAAAAACTGATAGAGAGTCATTTGCAAAGACATTTATCATTGGTTTGTGAAGCTGGAATAAAACAAAATGAGGTGTACAAGTATTGCAGCAGGAGTAGGTACTGTCCAATAATTCCTGTCATAGTCACTTTAATAATCTCGACATTTTAGAGCAATTGAAGAGATTTGGTAGATAATGGTAGATTAATGTCTGTACAGCGACGTATCGTACCCGGAGTAGATGTCATGTTTCCCCGCCTGCACCACGCTCAGCACGGTCGCGCACACCACGAGTAAGTGTCTGATCATCATGGTGTGTTAAACCCAACTGACATGATAGCAACAAATTATCAAATACTACGAAACATATCGTAATCATTTATTCGACATCTTGATAGGGTTTTTACAAGTATTAGTTATTTTGATCATTAGATAACTATCACCTACGTCTTGTAAATTAATTTTTGTGTTGATATAATTGCTACTCACAATAATTTGAGTTCTATTTAATTAGTATTGCCTCATTGTGTTTATATTCAGTTAATCGTTGGGTTTTAGGTATTTAACTTTAGTTTAAGTTATTGCACTACCAAATAAGAATCTTATCGCATGATATATCTGAAATATGTGGTTTTTGTTTTTATTCAACCGTCATCGGATTGATTAGACAAAATGATAATATTGATTAAAAAAACGGTTTTTACCTAAATTGACAACCAACAAGTTTCATAATTAAAAACATCAGTTCCATGAAGATTTAAAAAATCATAATTATAATTTAGGCACATTTATTATTATTTGTAGCCAAGTCAGGTCCTGAGATGAAAATCAGATATAAACCTGTGAGTTTTAGTTTCAAACTGCGGAATTGTCTTAATAGTAACTGTCAAGAACTTGTTTTTGAGGGAGAAAAACATCCAATGACTTTCCCTGCCTGGGTGAAGAATAAGAGTGTCAGACTCTTACTGACTAAAACCACCTCGTTCCTACTCCTGCTTTTCGAGCCAAGAACCTGAAATCTTATTCTACTAAAAATCGTTTCTTCCTATACACAATATTAATAATTAATTGAAGAGAATGCTTAGAGCCACTGACCGGCTATAAACAAATATTCGATAACAATCAATGCTTGTATAAATCCGTCTGCAGTGCCAATGAACATTTCACATTTCACAAGTTCAGTCGTCCTGAATTGAAACAAACATAATAATTCAGAAGGCTCATTGATATTAATCTCCGGCCCGTGGAGCCTTTCATTTATCAAATTCATAACGTTCGTCCAAACACAAAGTGCTCTTACATTAATGGCATTTGTAAACTAAATTCCAGTATAAGTCTGTTAGCTTCCGACATTTCTAAGTTAGTTAAAAACCTTTCGTTCCCCTCAGTAAAGTCGCTCTAGTATTTAATACTAAATTATAATTATTTTAGGCAAGTTCCAAAGTTATTCCACGGACGAATTTTAAATTAAGCGGAGATTTATAACTGGTGAATTCTCCAGAGATTTCAGTAAAATGTACCCTAAATACCTACTAGGATATTTCCATATTTTTTGCTCCAAATACCCGGCTTTAGGAAAAAACGAGGCATTTGTGGAATTTAAGTGTCTTAGTAAATATTTAAAATGGCCGTCGCGCCGGCTAACGGCTCGGTAATGATTTTGATTTTATCCTTTTTGTAAATTATTTGATAGTCAGCTACTAATAATCGGCACGAATTTGGTCGTTGTAGTATAATTACACAAGAAAGGCATATCTTATCTTGAGAAATACAGTGAGTTTATGTTAAATATACGAGGGATCTTCATTTCATTGTATGCTTGTTTTATGAACTTTGACTTCAGTTGAAAAGTAAGTCAGGCAACCCCTGAAGTGTGAAGTTCAGCGCACCTCCTGTCAGCTGGAGACAGCCACATATTAACTCGTGTGTCTCGGCTGTGCACACCCATCCATCATTATCAGCAACTTAACACAGGGATCCATTAATTAAGGCCTGTTCACATCGATCGTTAGTTCAAAATTCTCATTACATTGCGCGCTCACTCGCGGATTGATTGATTCGATTTCCCTCTTATGTGTACTAACTTTATAATGGGGTTTAATAGCAGAGGTCAAGCGGTTTTGATTGAATACGTGAGACATTTCACGGTTTTTGGAATCGGAAGTTATGAAAGACAAACTGTGCAATTATATTTTATTATCCTTACTTATATTAGAGGTATAAATCGGAAAGTGAGTTTGTTTGTTTGTTCCACTTTAACGTTTCTGTAGACATAAGGAGTGCGTAGTCAAGGTCAAAGTCAAAGCATTTATTTCAATTAAGTGCTAATTAGGCTTCTTTGAAACGTCAAAAGTTGCATTGTCCGTCCGTCTGTCTGTCAGTGAAGCTAGGCGCTCGACGCTCGTTCCAAAGTGTAGTTTCGAATGGAGAAGAACGAACAAGAAACTCCATCGTTACTCTTTTAAAAAAATGTTTTTACAGTCTCATTGATACATTATCTGATATAACTTAATGGCCACAAAATTGTAAATTAGGTATCTACCTATTAAGGTTTTAATAAATAATATTGTATAGAACTTATGACGCCAACTTCTAACCTATCAGTGGGTGGGTAACCTATCAGTACTAATGATAGTTATTTTTTCTTTTTAGTTTTGACGTTTTGTTTGTTATTAGTTTTTAGTTTTGACTTTTTGTTTGTTATTAGAAGTTTTTTGAAGTCGGTTTTTTAAACGCAGTTTTTATTTTATTTGTATTCCAGCAGGCTGTATCGACTAAGTACTCACTTACTTACATTTATTCTTTGAAGTTTATTCAAAGACTTATTGGATACAATACAAAACTAAACTTAGCAATGGAGGACTCGATAAGACACACTTTTAAAATATTTCACGGTCAAATCGGCTATGAGTATTCCGTCTTAATACTTAATTCTATGATGGCTACAAAATTTGTACTTTAATGTACATATATTAAATCACTACATAGTATAAAACAAAGTCGCTATCCGCCGTATGTCTGTCCCTACGTATGCTTAGATCTTTAAAACTATGCAACGGATTTTGATGCGGTTTCTTTTAATAGATAGAGTGATTCTTAAGGAAGGTTTATATAAGAGAAACATTGATAAATTCAGAGGTTTCTAATGTGATGTCATAAATAAGCACAATTTTTGCACTTATATTGCAAATGCTGGCTGAACGCTACGAGATAGACCAAAATAATGTACTACAGTATTGTTCACCTTAATTGTCTAATGACAAAAAACCTGTGACCGTTGTGTATAAGGATATGCTGTAGTAGGTATATTTATTTACATAAGCATTGCATCCGTGCGAAGCCGTGGCGGGTCGCTAGTATGAAATAAATGAATTTACTGTAAAATCTGTCCCAAAAACAAATGAGTTGACTGAAATGATCTCATTACGAATTGAATGCTGAACGCTGCACTGACAATCATGTGACATCAATTGTATGAGTCATTCGGAATGCGCAGTAAGTAATTACTGCTGTGTCCTCTCCAGACTTAATTATTGTAAATTATATGCTTTATACTGCCACTTTATTTGGTCAATATTCTTTTACACTCGGGAATTGAAGTCAGATGGAATTGTTAAAATCTATTTGACTGTAAACGTATTCTCTTATGTATTTTTCTGAACTTAATGTGGAAGTGTGTGAGTGTATGTGGCTTTCAGGGCAAAACGGAGCGACGAATTGACGTATTTTTTGTATAGTTGGAGTGATGGACAGTGACATAGGCTAATTTTTTCTCTTTCCGACCTCCCACTTCCCCAAAATAGGGGGTAGAAAAAAGTTTGTATGAAGCATTCCGCAATTTTATGCGAACTATTTGTAAGTAACAAAAAATCTTGTATATATTTTTTTTGTAGCTGCAACTTCTTAATGCGCGTTTAAAGCCGCAGGCTTAAAGGTAATTGAATTTTACTGTACAATGCAATTCTGACAACTTATGCTAACGGCGTGAGAGTTATGTTTGTTCCTGAACACTAGTGCCTAGATAGTGGTGCATAAAGTCTTTCTCATTGTTTTATAATTTTCGTATCATATATTATGATAGAAAAAATGCTCACTTGCTAGTACTGATCTATCAACAAAATTAGTTTTGCTATGCTAACGCCTGAATACTGACAGGCTACTCAATTTTACAGCATTTTTTCCGATTCAAGAAACAAAAACCACCAGCTTATAATGACCTAAAAGCAATTATATTGTGTCCTACTCTCTCACGTAAAATTACATTTATGTATGATAGTATTCCACAGAGGGCACTACTATCTCACGACATGCACTAACTTAGCTCTCGGCTAAGTGTAAAGTTGAGCGCTGTCAATTATCTGATAACTCTGACATTTTACATACAGCGCGCTCCATCTTCGTGGTCACTGTCTAGAATTTATAGGAATATTGAATTAACTAAACAATTCTAAGATCTTCTAGTTGATATTGGCTTGTTAAAAATACATCACAATATCCGTGGTTATAAATTATTTGAGGTTTTAATAATTGTGTTTCAATCCAGAAGAAACATTTTTATAAATTAAGCTCAGCCAAACGACGGAACAATTTTCGCGAAACCCGTCGACCCGAGTAATTGTGAGCTTCCTTGACTGGGCGCAGATAAATGTCTTTGAATTGTTGCTTTTAATACAGATTCCGTTACAATTTACAAACAACAAGGTTGTATAATAAAACATAAGATACTGCACTTTCAAAGACGCTGTGAGTCGGTAGTTATAAATACAACATGGAACCTCTGCCGCTATAGATATCAAAGAACCTTTGGATCGTCAAAATAATTATGATTACGGACAGAAGGAATAAATATCCTTCTATTAAATAATTTATTACAGAAGCACGAAGGCCCGTTTTCGTTTGACAGCTGTCAGATCTTGAGTGTCTAGTAAATTAAAATTATACCTTAGGAAAATGTACCAATAATATCAAACGGAATTTACATTTTAACATCAATTTCGAGAGAGGTATTTTATTGGTAGTAGCTTTCTTAAGATTTAGAAATTGGATTAAATTAATGAATAGGAAAGTATTCAGGAACACAATACGCTTGCGTTGTCCTGCACATTCGTTCACAAAGTGAATAAAAGAGCTCGTTGATTGGATTAGGTCCTGTGGGTCGAAAAAACAAAGCTGAAACAATCCTCCGGACAATTTGTGAACACACACAAATCGGCGAGTTCCAATCAAGCCTAAACGCCGGCCACCATTACGTACGGAGTTACGTCGCACATCCAACTTATCTTATAGTCAGCCGGCTGCCGGACGGTAGTATT